TTAACTTTTGAGCCATCTCTTCAGCCCCATGAACATATATTTTAAACCTAAAAGTAATTAAAACTTAGAAGTGTGAGAGTTGGGGATGCAGCTCAGTTGGTAGAGTGCTTGCCCAACATATATGAATCATGGGATTTCATCCCCAGCACCACATAAATCAGGTATGGTAGCAAACACCTGTAATCTTGGCATTCAGGAGGATCAGAAAATCAAGGTCATCCTTGGCTGCATGGGGAGTTAGAGGTCAATGTGGGCTAAAGAGACCCTGTCTCAAAAAAAAAAAAAAAAAAAAGATAAAGAAAAATTGTGACCCTCTGTTGGGAAAAGATTTCTTAGATCTGACATGTGTTAAACATGTATTTTGTTTTTCAACAATAATTCACAGCTCTTAACTCTCCAAAAGCAAACCATAGAAACTAGAATTTCTTCCCTAAACGGGGTCATAGACGAGTTCTTCACCGTACCCTGGAAGTGGAGTGTTGCACAGAGAGGCCCACACGTTGGACAGACAGACTGCTGGGCTTCTCCACCCAGTCTGTCAGCAATGGACTTTTTTTGGGGGGGTGGTCTTTTTGAGACAGGGTCTCTTGTAGCCCCAGCTGTCCTGGAACTCACTATGTAGACCAGGCTGGCCTCGATCTCACAAAGATCCACCTGCCTCTGCCTCCCAAGTGTTGGGATTAAAGGCGAGCGCCACCACGGCTAGCAATGGACTTTAAAAAAAATTTTTTTTTTTTACTTGTATGAGTGTATCGCCTGCATATGAGGTCAGAAGAGGACATTGGATCCCCTGGAACTCCAGTTATGGACAGTTGTTAACCTTCATGTGGGTGCTGGAACTTGAACCTGAGTCCTGAACAAGAGCAGCCAGTGCTAACCGCTGAGCCATCTCTCTAGCCCCAGCAATGGACTTTTGTACACAGTTCTATCCTGTTTTCCATGCCTAAGGCATTGAACAAAACAAATGGGTCAGGGAGTTAACCTGAGCCAAGTATGTGCAAGTTTGCAGAGGCTGGCACAGAGAGGGCATTGGAACACCACACCCCTCCCCAAGCCCCAGCCCATGCAATCCATCTGCATCCTTTGCAACAGTCTTTATAATAAACCTGTAAATGTGCCCCCCAGTAAGTATAAGGCTGTGGGAACCCCAGCTTAAAGCTTGTCAGTAGAAGCTGAGGCTTGCAACTGGTACCTAAAATTGGGGCAATGGAGACAACCTTGGGAGGTTGACACCAGATGGTAGACAGTATCAGAACTGAACTGAGGTCATCCAGCTGGCCTCCACCACAGAACAGAGATTCACCCCGCATCTGATATCAGAAGTAGTTTGTGTTTCTGGGTGTGGCCACACATGCCAGTCATCCCAGCATTTGGAGGCAAGAGGATGGAAAGTTCAAAGCCAGTCTGAGCTACAGAGTAAGATCCTGTCAAAATACACGTGTGCTAGAATAACTAGAGATCACTATGAAGAGAGAAAAATCCCTAGAAACATATGCCTTTCAGAAAACTTCACAGTCAGGCAGGTGGCACACTCTAATCCCAACACTTTGGAATCAGTGGCAGGCAGATATCTGTGAGATAGAGACCAGCCTGATCTACATAATGAGTTCCAGGTCAGGCCTAAATGAAAATAAACTCAAAACTGTCACTCTTCAGGAAGATAAACCAGGGGAAAATTTACATGACCCAGAATTTTTTTAGAGTCAACGTCAAAGGCACTATCTATTAAAAACCACTGAAAGAGCAATTATAAAAAACAACCCAAGTTTTAAAAATGGGCAAAAGAGGGGCTAGAGATGGCTGAGTGGTTATGAGCATTGGCTGCTCTTGCAAAGGACCTGGGCTTAATTCTCAGCATCCACATGGTGGCTAACAACCGTCCATAACTCCAGTTCCAGGAGAATCCGGCACCTTCTGATCTCCACTGGCATTGCACGACATGGGTGCACTCACATACATACAGGCAATACACTCATACACATAAAAATAAATAAAAATTTTTTAAAAATGGGCAAAAGACACCGCCATCAATTACATCAAGCCTGTAATCCCCACTCTCGGCAGGCAGATCTCTGAGATTGAAGCCAGACTGGTCTACATACCCAGTTCTAGGCCACCTGGGGTTGTTACAGGGAGACCTGGTCTCAGAAACGCAAACAAATACATTGTGAGTACCAAGTCCACCAGAGTTACAGAATGAGACCCTGTCTTAAAAACAAAATAAAAAAACCTGTGTGAGATACAGGGCGGTTCTGTCTCAAAAAGACCAACAAAGGGGCTGGAGAGATGGCCCAATGGTTAAGAGAACTGGATGCTCTTGCAGAGGACCCAGGTTTGATTTTAGCACCCACATGGCAGTTAACAACTCCAGTTCCAGGGGATCCAACACACTTCTGACCTCCATGGGCATTGCATGACACGGGTGCACTCACTTGCATTCAGGCACTATACATACACATAAAATAATATTTTTTAAAGTCTTTAAAAAAAAAAACCCAAACCCCTAAAATGCCACACACAATACACGCACGCCTCCCCCCCCCCACACACACATGGCAAAAAAAAGCATGTGAAAAGATGTTCTGTGTGTGCTGGTAGAGAATTTCAAATTTAAACAAAAAATAAGAAACATCTTTTAAAACAGTAAAGATCCAATTTATATTAACACCAAATACTGACAAAAATCTAGCAGCAGCCCTTCATTGCCCATGGAAAGGCAGTAAGATACACTCATCTTTGGAGGCAGATGGGCGGTTTTTACAAAGCTCCCTGTTAGGCTGGGGATGTGGCCCGGTGGTAGAGCATCTACAAGTTCATGAGGTCGGTCCCTGCTCGCTTGAACCCCCAGACTTGAAGGGAACCTTGTTTTAAGCTGAAGAGCTTTAAGATTTCAACAGCTGCAGAAAGTGGCTCTTTCAGAGCTTTTCTTATCCAAAGGCGGAGAGCTAGGAGACAGTGTGAGGCCACCCCAAGTCTCCCTAGGGGAGTTGTGCCCACCCGGCATGAAGCAGGGCGGCACGAGGGTTCACACCGTCGTGCCCGGCATAGCTTGCTATGTACGTCAGTATAATTACAGAAGGAGCTGCTTTTGTGCAGACCCATGGTAGATAAACGCTCTTTTTGTCTTTTTAAAAAGGTTTATTCTCAGATCTGCAATCACCAAACAGAAAAAGTCACACGCACCCTAACCCCCAGCAATCCTTTGGAAGAGCAGTAGGCCCGCAATTCGGGTTTCTATTCTCAAACATCCATTTAGTCTAAACTATTCTAAGTTAAAATATGGGAGTGCTTGTATGTTACTGGCGACACGTGTCGAGGGCTGGAGAGGCTCCTCAGGCCATTGGTGTGTGCTGGCGATGGAAGCTTTCTCTGGAAAGCAGGCACCTTAGCCCAGCTCTTTCCAATATCAGGGCCAGGGCTGCCTCGGGCTGCTGATTCCTGAAAGGCCAGACTGCTTTTCAGTCCTAGGCACCTTCGCTTGCCTCCTCCCCTTCACGTGGAGGTTACCAGAACCTTTTTCTCTAGGGACAAGACCGGGGTCCAAGGGTTCAGCACCCTGAACAGAGGACTCTATTTCTTCCTTGGTGTATGGTTATTTTCTTTCATAAAAGCCAGAAGATTCTATTTTACCCCTTGGTGTGGAGTGAGGGAGGCAGAGCAGCTGCAGGCGGCCGAGGGCACTGGTCACGGCCACTCAAAGCGGTAGCGGCGGTTTGGGATGCCTTGAGGCCACGTGGGCACCGGAGGTGAGCTTACCTGCAGGGAGGGTAGCAACCAGGAGTAAAGAAGCCAGAGGTAAAGCCAGCGGCCAGAAGGCCCGACGCCGGGGCGTGGGCGTGGGCGTGAGACCCGCGTTTGGGTCTCAGCTCAGGGCCCCTGCCCGGATCCCGTGCGGGGACCAGGGAGGGCACTGCCACCAAACTGCGGATCCTCCTCCCCGTGCCTTCCCCTCAGGTCCCCTGGCACCCCCTCGCTTCCCCTTCTCCCCTGACACCCCCTCCCCTCCTCCCCTGGAACTCCCTCCCTTCCTCCCCTGACACCCCGTCCCCTCCTCCCCTGGAACTCCCTCCCTTCCTCCCCTGTCTCCCATCCTCCCTTGAAACTCCCTCCTTTCCTCTCCTGGCACCACCGCCCCAGCCCTTACCACCCCCCTCCCCTAATACCCTTCCCTTTCCCGCCCGCCCTCTTCCCTGGGGTGCTCTGCAGCGCAGGTAAAACTCGCGCATGCGTGCTCCGCCCCGCGTAGTCCCAGCTCGGGAACCACCTGTGCACAGACCCCGCCCTGACTAGTCGCCCAGGGCCCGCTGGCTCTGAGTGTGGTCCAGGGACTCCCCATCCTTTGTCTTCAAGGATTAGTCACTTAGCACCTAGAGCGTGCAACACGTCCAAAACCGAGGCGGAATTTCATTTTCTTTAAAAAAAAAAAAAAAAAAACAACCATGGCCGGGTGTGGTGGTGCAAGCCTTTAATCCCAGCACTTGGGAGGCAGAGTCAGGCGGATCTATGAGTTCAAGGCTAGCCTGGTCTACACAGCGAGCTCCAGGTGAGCTGGGTTTACAGGGAGACCCTGTCTCAAAAAAACAAACAACAACAAAAAAATCACTAGTGAAAAACAAAATGAAGGTGGCAGTACTTAACCTTTTTAAGAACGTTCCGGGGTAATGAGACTGGCATAGTGTGGCCATGTGTTTGCAATTAAAACCCAAGCCCTGGGGTAGGCCGGGAGCTCTGGGGCAAAGTTGTAATCTGGCTTGCTTGACGCCTAGGGTTCTATCTCCAGTACACGAAAAAGTCCCCTGATACAAGTCAACACACTCTTTCCTGATTCAAAGACACAAGTATTTTAGTGTGTCAGGGAAAAAAAGTGATCTTTGATGTAATAGGTGAACTGGTGGGAGACTTGTTTAAAAAAGTAAAGAAATCAATCGGAATGTTCCCCAGATGCGAACCCAAGACACCAAGATCCTCCTCAGCAAATGCAAAGGATGACAAGTCAGTACTTCATACAGCTAGATTTAATAAGTTGGTATTACAGGAAAAAAAAGAAGTCCAAACTACAAAGTTTAAGCAGTTGTAAGCAATAGCTGCATTGCGCTCCTGTTTAGCCACAGTACTGTACTTCCATACAAGCATATTAGTCCAAGCCCCGGAGGCAGAAGCTGAGCAAGGGGTACTAGCAAAAAACAATCTAGGAACCAGTAGTAAAAGATACAATACAGTTAAAATCAGTTCTTAGTTGAAAAACAAATGCAGAGATCTTAGCTGTGAACACTCTAAAAGTTATGTCCATTATTTGACAGCAAAAGTACAAATACCTAATACTTTATACCCCAACAGAGCTATGTCCAGGAAAAGGAGAAGTTACCCTGTGTTAGCACCCAAGATTTCTACTGGTTGCACTTAACCTCTTCATCACACAAATTGAACATCCCTGAATCACAGATCCACTTCTTGACCCATTTTGGGGTATAAAGTCGACAGCATCAATTATAAAATACTCTGTGGTAAGATGGAACACTATTGCAGCTGAGATAGAGGAAATTTGGTTATTATAAAAGAAGAAAAACCAGAAAGAAATGTTAGCAGACATACCATACAGACTAGTGAAAGAGGAAGGATCCAGACAAATAAGCCAGGTTTAACAGAAAAGATACTTTTTTCACTAATCTGTGACTAATCTTTCATTCAAACCTTGCAAGTAGAGGTGTCACAATACTCAAATATGTAGGTAGGAGCTTACCCAGTTAAATGCCATTTTGTTGCTAATATAATAGATAAATGAAAACTAGCAGTTATTTGCTAATTGCATAAATGCAGTACATTCTGCGTTAGCCCATGCCTCACTAACAAGCTATAAAACACAAGATACAGGCGGAAATCTAAGCATAATCTTTATTCCACTAAACAATTTTTCCAATTTCTTTTCTTCTGTTCCTAATCATTTATTTGTAGTTAATGCAAAATTTCAACCAAGAGTACCCAATTTGAGTTAAAATTTTACATCACAACTTGATCTAATCTATATATTATTTACAAAACTGAATACACAGAGCGTACCCAAGAGCCAACTCTGGACACCTGTTCCTCCAGTTATTGATGAGCCTCACCTCTGAAGCAACAGATCTAGAGGAGGCCACCAACTAGCAGAAACACGCCATCTATCTAGAGCAAGTCATTGGATGTTCTGTTTACGCAACACCAGTTTTGCAGTTGTTCATTTCTGCTTTAATCTTAGGTGCTAGTGCAGCAATGTGCTGCCCTCACACTTCCAGGTGAGGTGGGGGCTGGACAGGCAGCAGCAGGAAGGCAGACAGATCATGCACAGAGCAGCCAGATGTGTCGCCACAAGAAAAGGCAAACAAGGGGCATCACGAGAGGGAGCAGGCAGGGATGTGAGGAAGATGCAGCTGGACACTGAACAGTGGTGACAAGCGTGTGTGCTTTCCTAGGGCCTGTACAGGGTGCAGTGCCACACACAAGGCCACAAGGCTGTGTGTGTCCTCTGACTCACAGACATCACCACTGGAGATGCAAGTGAAAGACTGGGGAGGGAAAGGCACCAGCTCATACATGGACAGCAATGGGTGGCAGATTCTCTCTCTCTCTCACACACACACACACACACACACACACACACACACACACAACACACACACACATGCACACGCACATGCACACATATCGTGGCATGAGGAGTTAGAAAGGAAAGCACTGAAACACTGTTGACCTGGCTGGGCTTCACAAAACCCAGTGGTATTTCAAGAGGGTGACTTCATTATCAGGGCCACAGATTTGGCTGCACCTGGTGTTGTATAAACCCACTGAGACATCCTTGGAGACCTGTACTGTGACATCCCTAGTCTCACACTAAACCACTGTGATAAAGGACAAGGCTTGTCGAGATCTCGCACGTTCAGCTCATTCTGTCATTTTATTACCCAGTTGTCCGTTACATTTCCAATTGCTTTACAGAACCAACCGTTTTCATCGTTGTCACACTATTGTAAACCACATCAGCAAGTTAATACATAAAGCTTTGCATTTCAAAAAACTAGACACTTTAGTAACAATATTACAAAGGTTTTAGCTTCAAAAATAACTGAAAATGAAAAAAATAAACTTTTAAAGAATTAGCATCATAAAATTAATTTATTCCAAGTAAAAATACAAAATAATATTATGACATTGACCAGATATGAAAGTCCCTCCCAGAAACAACTCTAGTAATGATTGAGAAAGCACTCCTTAAAGAAAATACGAAATAAAATGAAAAATATGTAAATATGTTTAATTTTTTTCTTAGCAAAAAATCTTTCTAAAAATAACAATGAAAATTTGTCTCAGTACAAAGGCTACATTACTATTGAAAAAATACCAGCATGAAGAAAAGGTACATATTTGACAGTAGAAAAATGATTTCAGTGAATCACAATGTCTAAAGTTTGCAATGAAAATAAATCTGCAATAAAGATTTATGCCTTTTTTCTTTTCTTTTTTTCTATTTTTTATACAAACAGTACAAACAGTATTGCACATAACAACAAATAGTCGAGGTTAGGTTACAGCCTTCAAAAATTCGACTAGTTCAAGTGTCCCATCGAGGAAAGGCCACATAGGACCTGTTACCCAGGGGCTTCCCAGTCAAGTTGCAGGTCAGAACACCTCTGTGTCTTAAAAAATAATTTTTTTGAAGGACCCTCTCTTTTAATATAACATTAAGAACTTGGGGCACATTTATTTACAAAACAAAAGGGAACATGTTATAATTTAATAAACTAAAAAAGTTCTCTTTAAAAAAATACAAACAGAAGAACTCTTTCACAATCCTGGTCAGTCGTGCACAATCAACGCTTGATTATAAATATACAAATTAAGGGAAAGCAGTTTCCACCATCTGTTCACAACCGTCAGCACCGAATGGAGTTCGTGATTCAAGCCTGTTCTCCAGGACACTGTACCTTTGCTTAGCTTTACGCTGTACAGTCTTCCAGCTTCTCTTTCTACAGCTCAGTGTTATTTTAGTACATGAAAGAGGGGGTGCTTCTTCAAAGCCTTAGCTTCTTCCACATCATTAGGTAGATTTCTGTAGGTTAGATATGATCTTTAATATTATAGTTATAAAGCTCTAACTTCTTCATTTTCAAAAAACACAAATAAGCATGAAAAAAATAAAGTTACCCATCTGTTAAATCATTTTCTTGCAGAATTAAATTAATATATATTTTCTGAATAAACTTACTTAGAAAATATCATTTTCTTTCCTATATTTCAAAATTGAGGTATTGCAAAAGATCATGTCAGTCAGAAAGCATGCCTTTTTCCTTAAAAATAAACAAACAAAAATCTTCAGCCAACTTTTGAAAACGGTCTAGAATACAAAAGCAGTAGTGCGCAACAAAATTTCTTGTACAGATGAAAAAAAAACCCACAAACATAGAAAAAAGAAAAACAAACAAAACCACATCTGGGCTGGGGAAAAACAATTACTACCAAAACGCCCAGAGGAAACCTCAAAACGGGAGGTTCTAATAGGCATTTTTTAAAGTCAGTAAAAAACTATTTTGTTTTTCCTTTTTTTGAAAACAAACTATAGCTGGAGAGTCAGTAATCACAACTGAACACTGGAGAGCAAAGAAAGGAACAAACAACAGAAAACAAGCAATACGAACTTCAAGACAGTACCAGGACATCACAGCACATAAAACACGGCGACTGAAGTCTATTCTGCAGTGTCATGTCCAGTCAGTTTGTCCCCAGAATTCAAAACATAGGAAGAAGATTTAGAAAAATTTAGTCTTGCAATCATCGTGTGTTTATGTATTACTGTCTGCAGCCAGGGGCAAATGGTAGGAGAATGCCCTCGGTAGTATGGGCGCGCTTGATTCCATTCAAGCTTTACACGAGCGCGCTTAATTCTATTCAAGCTTTACAGGATAAATCCAAGGGACTAAGCAGTTAATTTCCCACCCAGACAACCAACTCTGCCCAGGCCATCTCGCTTGGTACAGACATTTTTCAGCATCACCTTCACACAACTTTCTTAAAGATGTGCCTTGTTTGCCAATCTGACGATTATCTCTAGATACTGTGTATATTCTTAGTGTTTGTAAGCTAAGATGAGCTCTTTGGTTTTCTTGACAAGGTCTGAAGCTAATGTAAAATGGTGCAAGCACTAGGTGGTTGTGACTAAGAGCTCATGTGTTACTTAATAATATATCAGTCATGAATGGTCAGGTTCATTAATGTCTGACACAGAGGCTTTAAACAGTTAAGTTTGATCACAGTTAGACACAATCACTTTACTATATAAAATAAATTGCACGATATATAACAGAGCACCGCAAGTACTTCATCCACCATCCACAGATTTGCTTTAAGTATATCCTACACCTACATGTTCTACTGGCTGTAATAATGGTCGTCCTGCTATGGGCTCTCACTGTTCATAAGCATCCCACCACTGAGGCAGGCCTTCCTCCCACCCATTACCAAGTCTTTGAATGAAAAAAAAAATCATCTTTTTTTTCAAAAATGAGTATTTTATAGCTTATATAGATTCTTAATTTGTGCATTGTGGGAAGGTTTTATACTAGACATTGGATATAAAATTTATTGCATGCAGCAACCTGGTTAAGTAAACATGCAGTCAGAAAGAGTGACCTTCCATTGAAGCTTTCTCAAGTCTATTCTGATCTCCCTTGGCAACTGGCTCTATCCCTAAATCACAAGTATGTTGTTGGGTTCTTGTTTTCATTTTGAATTGATACCTTAGCCTGAACAGAGTATTATGGTATTAACAATACCATTTTAATAGCAGCAAAAGCTATTGCAGCATAAATTGACGTAACACTAAAAGATCTACCAAAATCCTCTGCAAAACAAAAATCAAACATGAAGGAAAAATAAAGATCCAGCTTATGAGGTATCCTTACCAGTCAAAATACAGAGCAACTAAAGGCTTTATTTTCATTAAGGGCTATCCTTACTCTACGTGACCCCAACTACTGATTGCTGAATTGTGAATTGTTTGCTACATCTGCCTCCTACTCACGAGTATGACCTTTGGTAAGTCTTGTCCTAGGGGCAACTCTCTAAGTTTCTGAAAATAAGTGCATGCTCCAGTTTAAAATCAATCAGAGTGACAACAACACAACAACAAACAGAGTCACAGACGTCAACCTGATGGCTGCTGATGAGAATGGCAGTCTAGGTGCTGTCGAGGTGACAGATCAGGTGTAAGAAATTAAGGTACCAAGCAGACAAAGGTGTGAGTCAAAGTGCAAATCAGTACCATTATACACTCTGCGATTCTGCATTATACTGGACACTGAGTTCAGTAATATGACTGTAAATAATAATAATAATAATAATAATAATAATAATAATAAGACCCATTTCTTCTTTAAAAATCGAGAACAAATGCACAAATTTCCAGAACACCGTGAGCCCTGAGGCAGTGCCCTCTCTTTTTCCTCCTTGTTATCTACTCCAGTACTTATAGCTGGGTTGGCCCTGGGCTCAGCTCCAGCGGAACGGGACATGACGAGGGCGGTCGCCTCCCTCCTTCACCAGCGGTTTGTGGAACTCGCGCCCGGCTCGGGAATGTATGCTGGCCCAGCAGTATTCACAGTAATACTGCAGACAGGTGACGTTGGCACAGAAGAACGGGGCAAACTTCCCACCGCAGCGCGTGCCCTGGCACTCGTCACACATCTGATCATCCAGCACATACGGCTTCACTTCCACCTGGACCCAGAGAGGAGAGACAGAAAGCTGTTAGCAACACCCTCTTGCCCCCCTTCTTTGTGGTTGCTGTATGGCTGGGTGGTCAAGGCAGCTTTGAACTCGCTAATCAGATGCTGGTTAAGAGCTACTTGATTTGCTAGCTGTGTGCTATCAGGCCAGCTCTTAAGCTCTCGGTGTGCTCTGCCAGCAGAACACACAGCTGTACATCTACGGGGTACCATAGCATCTACATCTGAGCTTGTTGGGAAGGATTGAGGACAGAGACATGAGCTGAATCCTGAGGCTGGACAGCATCTCAGAGCAGGACAAAGAACATTCCAGAGAGAGCAACAGGTAAGACAAAGGCCCACAAGCAGGAAAAGGTAGGACACACATCTGGGTAATGTTCTACCCAGAACCACACCAGAGGGGGAGACATTGGGTTGAAGGGAGATATGACCAGGAGGTCTGGGCTTCTGCTGTGATGGGAAGACTTTCAAAATTGCCCCAGGCTATACTGGACCCTATGGACTTCAGGGGGAATGGGGAGAAGGGAACATGCTGAATTCACCCACTGTAACCATTGGGCTGTTTAATCTTCTGCAGATACTTTACTGCTTTAATCTCACCCCGCCCCCGCAATGGAAGCTTTCATAGAGAATGCTTTATCACAGCCCCACTGAGCACTTAAAGATCTACCCAAAGCTAAGCTATATGACATGAGAGCCAAAGCAAGGAAGAAATCCAAGTCCAACCAACCCTCTCCCACCCCGCAAATCTCTCTCCTAGAGCGTCAGAGGAAACAAACCATGAACTTAAAACTTTTTCCTCTTGAATGTTAGAAATAAGCATTAAAGTGGAAAGTCTGGCAAGTCCCTCTTATACCTGTTCTGGAGCCATGCTGGAGAGGACCAGTCCTATGGCTGGAGCCAATGACAACTGGTCTTGCAAGATGGGCCAACTGTGTAACAATTTGGGTGGCCTCTGGATGCCACCAGAGAACTCTAGGAGGGCATGAGCCAGCGCTCAGCAGGTGAAAGGTAGGAAGCAGGTGACAGGGGAGGGAGCCACGAAGGTGGGACATTACTACTTCTGCTTACCTACTCTGCAGTCCAACCTCTGGCTGTGTGTTCTAGTCTACAGGTCTATAGTCTATCTGCTAGCCAGATAGCTCTATTTGGAGGGCCATCACACTCTAGGTACCCAAGGGAAAAATGTCTTTACTCTTCCTCCTCTTTCCCCTTCCTTAACCTGAGAAGTGAGTGAGCAGGCTTCAAAATCATCCCTTCTATTTATCTCTGCATTGTAATTAAAACTAAAGTGGCTCTGGAGTCAGCCTGGCTGGGCTCAAAGCCAGGACACATTAGTAGTTGAACAACCTCAGAAAAGTTTCTCAGCCACTCAGAATCTGTTAATCTGTTTACTGGGGGGGGGGGGGGGGGGGAAAATCCTGCTCTATAGATTGGCTAAAAAAGTAAATTAATTCAACACCTCATAGACAATAGGCACAGCTGCTGCGCTATGGCTTCCTCCAGAGGCCAGGCCATCATATTTTGCACTTGGATATTGCTTGGCATCAGTGGCCTCTATTGTCCACCAGTTCCCAGTCTTCCCTGGTTCATTCTCCCACGTATGTGTGACATTTCAATAATCTACCAGCGTTCCTCTCCGGGTCAAAAGCCACTCCGATTCTTCACTGCTGCCTTGGTGAGATAGCTTGTTCTCTGCCTCCAAGGACTCAGATCCAAGCCAGAGCAGGCATGGTTTACCCAGTTTCCTTCTAGCAGCTTCCCAAATCATACTCTAACTATGCTCACATTCTCTCCCCCATCCCCACCTTCCACCTTCCCTCTTCTCCTTCCACCTCTTTTTTTTTTTTGATAGGGTTTCATTATATAGCCTAGGCTGGCCTCACACTCAAAGATACTCCTGTCTAGGCCTCCTCCCAAGTTGGTCTCTAGTTTTACTGGTACTTACTGTGCTAAATGTCACAATTTAAATGCCTTCCATACCATTTGCTTTCGCACACCCCAAAATTTCCTGCACCTAATGATATCCAGACTTTTTTTTCCTTTCTTTGCATAAAACCAACAATTTGTGCGTGTGTGGTATATGCACATGCGTGTATGAATATACATGCCTGTGAGTGCACACGGAGGCCAGAGAAGAGGATGGGTGTCCTGCTCTATAACATTCCCTTGAGACAGGGTGTCTCCCCGAACCTGAACTAGGCAAGCCCCAGTGATCCTCCTGCTCCCCCCAAGTTCTGGGGTTACAGGCATGCCTAACTTGGGTCTCCCTGTAGTCCCAGTTGGCCTAGAACTTGTTATGTAGACCAGGCTAGCCTCAAACTCACAGAGATCTGCCTGCCTCTGCTTCCCAAGTGCTGGCATTAAAGGCATGTGCTACCATGCCTGGGCTGCATGCCTGACTTTTTACATATGTGCTGGGATCTGAACTCAGGTCTGCATGCTTGCATGGCAAACGCTTTACCAACTGAGCTATCTTTCCAGCTCCCAAAATCAACACTTTTTTTTTCTGCAAATTTCATTATTTTTTAAAGACAGGATCTCACTGTGTAGCCCCCCAGCAGGCCTCAAACTCAACAATCAACTTTTGTTTTTCTTTTTGAGACAGGGTCTCCCTGTAGCCCCAGCTGGTCTGGAACTCACTATGTAGACCAGGCTGGCCTTGAACTCACAGAGATCCGCCTGCCTCTTCTTCCCGAGTGCTGGGATTAAAGACGTGCACCACCATGCCCAGCTCAACAATCAACAATTTTAAAGTGAACAATTTGGTGTTAGTCAATAAATTCACAATGTGTGCCAAACTACCTTTCTATAGTTTCAAAAAACTCTCAGCATCTCATCAAGGAACTCTGTACCCACTAAGTCCTTGCTTCCCAGCTTCTGGGACCACATTACTTCTGTCTCTATGGGTTTACCTATTCTGGAAATTTCCTAGAAATGAGTAATATACCATAAGATCTGTTAAGTCTGCCTTTTTCAGTCTTTACCATGTTTAGAGATTCACCTACCCTGTACATGGGGCACTGGGCTCCATCCCCAGCACCACATCATGAACACTGTTAAATGCAGCAGCATTTGTTCTCTATGCCTAAATGATATTCCACTCCATGTTCCACCCCACTCACACATATACCCCATGTTCTGCTCATGTCTGCTGATGGATACTGGCTTGTTTCCACCTTTTGGTTATTGTGACGTGCACAGCTCTAAACATGTGCATATACATTTGTGTAAGCAACTGTTTTCAATTTTTTTAAGGTAGATACTAAGAGATGAGTCTGATTGGGCATATGGTAATATACTATTTAACTTCTTTTAAAATATATATATTTTATTTTATGTGTATGAGTGTATTGCCTCCATGTATGTGAGTGTACCCGTGTCATGCAATGCCTCAGAGGTCAGAATAGGGTATCAGATTCCCCTGGAATTGGAGTTAAGGACGGATGGTTTGTAGCTGCCATGTGGGTGCTGGGAACTGAACCTGGACCCTCTGCAAGAGCAGTCAGTGCTCTTAACCACTGAGCCATCTCTCCAGCCCCTAATTTTTGTTTTGTTTTGTTTTGGTTTTTTTGGGGGGGGTCTTTTTGAAACATGGTCTCCCTGTTGCCCCAGCTGGCCTGGAACTCACTATGTAGACCAGGCTGGCTTTGAACTCACAGGGATCCACCTGCCTCTGCCTCTCAAGTGCTGGGACTACAGGCGTGTGCCACCACATCCGGCTTCCAGCCCCTAATGTTTAACTTCTTTAAAAAGATTTTTTTTCTGTTGTATATATGTGTGAATGTATGTATGTATACATGTATGTGCAGGTGTGTGTGCAGAGGTCTCTTGGCTACACTGGAAGTCAACAAGCCCCAGCCAAGCCTCCTGGTCTCAGCCTCCCTTGGAGTTGGGATTACATGTATTTGTGGAGATGCCTGGCTTGTTACATGGATATTGGGATCTGAACTCTGGCACTCTTCTGGCTACCTCTCCAGACCCTCAATGTTTAACCTTTGAGTTACTACCAAATTGTTTTCCTTTGCTTCTATACACAATTTTGCATCCCTACCAGCAAAGTAGCAGGCTGTCAATTCCTACATATGCACCAATACTTCTTTCTTCTTTCTCTTTCCTTTTTTTATTTATTTATTTATTTTTTTTTGAGACAGAGTTTCCTTGTAGCCCCAGCTGGCCTGGATGTCGCTATGTAGCTGCTACCAGGCTGGCTTTCACACAGGGATCTGCCTGTCTCTGCCTTCTGAGGCCGTTGCATCACAAACTCAAGGCCAGGTGTGAACTTCTTATTTTCTTCTGTGGGACTATATGCATCCTGTCAGGAGAAGGATCCATCATGGTTTAGAGTTGTATTTGCCCAGTTACCAAGAATACTGATCAACTTTTTACTTGGTCATTGGACATTTTTTTTTTTGAGATAGGCTTTCATTGCCACCTCAGTCTTCTAAGTGCTGGAATCACAGCAAATACCATCATCCCGAGTTTAGCCAATTGTATATCTTCTTTAAAAAATATTTTATTATTATTATTTTTATTTTTTTATGTGCATGAGTGTATTGCTGCGTGTGTTTTAAGTGCACCCATGTCATACAATGCCTGCAGGTCAGAAGAGGGCATTAGATCCCCTGGAACTGGATTTATGGACAGTTGTTAGCCATCATGCTGGGAACTGAATCTGCGTCCTCTGCAAGAGCAGTCAGTGCTCTTAACAGCTGAGTCATGTCTCCAGCCCCTTCATATCTTCTTTAGAGAAAGACCTATTCAAATTTGTTGCTCCTTTTTTGGCTTATTTTTTTAAATGTGTATGAGTGTTTTGCCTACATGCATACAAGTGCACCCATGCATGCAATGCCTGCAGAGGCCAGAAGGGATCCTCAGGTTCCCTGGAACTGGAGTTACAGATGGCTGTTAGTTATCAAGTGGGTGGCTGGGAACCAAACCTGTATCATCTGCAAGAGCAGCCAGTGTTCTTAACTACTGAGCCATCTCTTC